GATGTTTACTATATTCTCATATCCTTTTTTTGATGTCAGAAAGTTCTATAGTGATGTCTTTTTTTTCATTTCTGATATTGATATTTGTACTTTATCTATTTTTTTCTTGATCAGTCTTCTAGGGGTTGGTCTAAAGGAACCAGCATTTGGTTTAATTGATTTTCTGTATTGTAAGTTTGTAAACTATTTTACTGCTTTCTCCTCTTTTTGTAATGATTTCCTTTTCTACATTTTAAAGTATGATTTGCTCTTCTTTTTCCAGTTTTTTTGATAAAGAAACTTAGAACTTTGATTTTTCTTCTTTCTTCTTTTCTACTAGAAGAAACAAAATATAATTAAAGCTATAATCTTCCTTCACCCAATCATTGCTTTAGCTACAAATCACAAATTTCCATGTTGCATCTTTGCTGCTATTTAGTGCTACATCTTTTCTAGCTTTCATTTTTATTTTTTCTTTGATCCGAGGATCATATAGAACTGTGTTGTTTAATTTCCAGATACTTGTGGATACATTTTGTAGTCCCACCAACAGTGTAGGAGAGTTCCTTTTTCTCTGTATCTTCACCAGCATTTATCATTCTCAGTCTTTTGGATATTAGCCATACTAACTGGAGTGAGATGGAATCTCAAAATGGTTTTGATTTCCCAAATGCTGAGTGATGTTGAGCCTTTTTTCCTGTGTCTGTTGGCCATTCATATATCTTCCATTGAGAAATGCTTGTTCAGCTCCTTTGCCCATTTTTTAGTTTGGTTACTTGTTTTTTTCCTATTAAGTTGTTTGAGTTCCTTGTATATTCTGGAGATTAATCCTTTGTCAGATGTATATTTTGAAAATATTTTCTCCCACCCTGTTGGTTGTCTTTTTGCTCTGTTAATTATTTCTTTTGCTATGCAGAAGCTTTTTAGTATGATATAACCACAATTTCTTATTTTTCCTTTGGTTGCCTATACTTTTGGAGTTATATTCATAAAGTCTGTACCCAATCTTACTTCCTGAAGTGTTTCTCCTATTTTTTAGGAGGTTTTTTTTCTGTTGTTTCAGGACATATATTTAATTATTTAATCTATTTTGATTTGATTTTGGTGTATGGTGAGAGGTACAGGTCTAGTTTCATTCTCCTATGTATGAATGTCCAATTTGCACAGCAGCATATACCGAAGAAGCAGTCTCTTCCCCAGTGTGTACTCTTGGTACCTTTGTTGAAGGTCAGATAAATGTAGGTGTATGGGTTGATTTCTGGATTCTCTATTCTGTTCCATTGGTCTGTGTGTCTGTTTTTATGCCAGTACCATGTTATTTTGGTTACTATAGCTTTGTAGTATAGGTTAAAGTCAGGTAGTGTTATGCCTCCAGCTTAATTTTTTTTTTGGCTCATGATTGCTTTGGTTATTCATGGTGTTTTGTTATTCCATATGAATGTTAGAATTTTTTTTTCCATTTCTGAGAAGAATTTGTTTGGAATTTTGATGAGGATTGCATTGAATCTATAGATCACTTTGGGTAGTATGGACATTTTCACAATGTTAATTATTCCAATCCAAGAGCATGGGATATCTTTCTGTCTTCTTATCTTCTCTTTAATTTCTCTCAACTGTCATTTATAGTCCTCATCATAGAGATTTTTCACATCCTTGGTTAACTTTATTCCTAGGTATTTTATTTTTTTGGTGACTATTGTAAATGGGCTAGCTTTCGTGATTTTTTTTTTTTCCTGCTAGTTCATTGTTGGAGTATAGAGATGCTACTGATTTTTGTGTGTTGATTAGGTATCCTATAACTTTTCAGAAATCATTTATCAACTTTAAGAATATTTTTTGTAGAGTCTTTAGGCTGTTCTGTGTATAGGATCATATCATCTGCAAACAGGGACAGTTTGACTTCATCTTTTCCAGTCTGAATTGCCTTTATTTCCTTCTCTTCTCTGATTGTTCTGGCTAGTACTTTCCAACACTATGTTGAATAGGAAAGGTGAGAGTGGGCATCCTTGTCTAGTCCCTGTTCTTAAAGGAAAAGCTTTCTGTTTTTCTCCATTCAGAATGATATTGGCAGTGGGTTTGTCATATATGGCTTTAATTGTGTCTTTATCATGAATGAGTGTTGGATTTTGTCAAATGGTTTTTCAGTGTCTAGAGAGATGATTATATAGCTTTTGTGTTTGATTTTGTTGATCACATTTATTGATTTGAGTATGCTGAACCAAACTTGCATCCCTGGGATGAATCCCACTTGATCATGGTGTATAATTTTAAATAAGTGTTGCTGTATTCTATTAACTAGAATTTTATTGAGAATTTTTGCATCTATATCTATATCAAAGATATTGGCCTATAGTTTTATTTTTTCTGGTTTTGGTATCAGGGTGATGTTTACCTCATAGAATGAGTTTGGGAACCTCTGTTTCAATGTTTTGGAGTAGTTTGTAGATAATTGGTATTAATTCTTCTTTAAGGTTTGGTAGAATTCTGCAGTGAAGCCATCCAGTCCTGGGCTTTTCTTTGTTGGGAGACTGCTGATTATAGCTTCAATTGCTTTGACTGTTATTGGTTTCTTCAGATTTTCTATGTCTTCTTGGCTCAGTCTTGGTGGTTTTTGTGTGCCCAGAAATTTATCCATTTCCTCCAGATTTTCAAATTTGTTGGCATATAGTTGTTTATAGTAGTCTCTAATGATTCCTTGTATTTCTGAGGTATCAGTTGTAATACTACCTTTTTCATTTCTAATTTTTTTATTTGTGCCTTCTCTCTTCTTTTTTTATTTAGCCTTGTTAATGGCATATCAATTTATATATCTTCTCAAAAAACAGCTTTTTTTTGTTGCATTGATCTTCTGTATCATTTTGGGGGTTTCTATTTCATTTAGTTCTGCTCTGATTTTAATTATTTATTGCCATCTATTAACTTTGGGTTTGTATTGTTCTTGTTTTTCTAGTTCTTTAAGTGTTAGGTTGTTTACTTGTCATCTTTCCATTCTTCTGAAGTAAGCATTTAATGAGATAAATTTCTCCCTTAGTACTACTTTTGCAGTATCCAAACAACATTCTACTTAATGACATATGTGTCCAGGAAGACATTAACAGGAAATCAAAAAATTTATTGAAAGTAATGAAAATAGAGACAAGGGCCTTTTGAAGAGACCTTTTAAAGGTAGTTTGGTAAGACTTGGTGACCAAATGTCGTAGTAGGGAGAGACAATGTTGATGAAAGAAAAAATCAAAGATGACTTGATGTTTTTATCTCAGGTTACTGTCTAGAGTATGATTGTCATTGAAATGGAGAATGCAAGAGAAAGAATGTTTGAGGAAGGTAGAAAGGGTAACCTCACTTGAAAGAGAAGAATAGGTTTTAAACATACTGATATTGAGCTTACCAGATAAAAGACTGAGGGATCTAAGCTTAGTGGGTAGCTTGAAATGGATTTTAAGAGAATAGCATGGATAGAAGTACTTTAAGGGTACTAGGAGGAAAACTGGAACCACTGAAGTAGTGGCAAGATAGAGTGGTTGGACTAGTGCTCGATAAAGGTCCAAGGTAGGATAAAAAAGCTATGGCAGGACTTAGATAAAGAATTGCAACTTAAACAGGATAAGCAATAGACAGGAGTGACAACAGTGAGGAGGAGACTAATCCAGAGGGTAGGATAAGGCAGGAGATACAAATTCTGACCAGAGAGGAACAAAAGGCCCTGTGAGAACTAAAAGGGAAGGGCATAATATCATGTCCAGATTCAATGAAGTCATCAAAATGTAAACAAATTAAACAAGAGATCTTGCCAGTCCTGGAGCTTCCTGTAGAAACAAGAGCCTAGTTCCAAGCATTTTGACCTGACACTTCAAGCAGATATTGAAAATACTTCCAGAGAATAAGTAATCACGAGACAATGCTGTTCTCAAGTAGATACAGTGATATTTCTATTTCATACAAGTGTATCTTTCTGTGCCAGAACAAAAGCTGTACTTTTTGGATACCAAAGATGAAACACTCAAATGATTCAAATTGTGCTTGCTTGCTTCCTTCCTTCCTTCCTTTTTTTCTCTATCTCTCTTTCTCCTTCCTTCCTTCTTCTTTCCTTCATCCCTCCCTCCCTCCATCCCTCCCTCCCTCCCTCCCTTTCTCCCTCCCACCAGCCCTATTTTCTTTCCTCCTTTCTTTTGTCTCGAAGCATAAAGGTTTATGAATTTGGTCAGGAAAAGATCACTTGGAAGCTGTTTTATGTTTGGTTAAGCATCTAAATTTTATAGAAGATATTTTGAAGTCCACATATTCTCCAGTGTAGTAAGAAATATCTCATTTACCATGGCTAGTAAATAATTTCTTCCAGAAGTGAGTAAAATCAAAATGAAATCAAATTAATGTGATTTTGACTCTCTGTTGAACATATTAGCACTGTCTTAAGCAATATAGTGTTTCAAGTTTTTTGAGTTAGGTGATCAGCCATCAGCTAACTGTAAAATGATTTTACTCTCAAGTATGGAGCTGGAAGCAAACACATATGGGGTTGGCTTTGTCATTGTACACCTTTTAACCTAGAAACTTTCTATATCCAGCTTTATGTCCAACTCCTGAGGTTGTGAAAATAGAGCTAATCTGCTACTTCCTGTTTTGTGATTTTCTTGCATTCCTTATCTTTAACTTGGTAAACTTTAGAAATCATTTGCCTATTTCTTACAAGTTAAATCTAACATGATTTTTAGAATGTAAATTGAAAGCCTAATAAAATATTTGATATAGCATTCTGTGGTACTATACAACAACATAATTATAATCTGATTTATTTCTTATTTGAATATAGGCTTTTAGTTCTGACTTAGCATTCTTTTAACAGATACTGTTGTTTTTACAAACTATTTCAACTGAAATGTTTGTTCATTTCTAGCTTCTTGTACTGAACATTATTTCAAAAGGGAGATTTTGGTAAAGCTTGTTTGGTTGAAACACATTGTTGTCACCTTAGGTGCTGACTATTCTGATGCCGAGTTTCCAATTGCCTTGATTAAAGTAGAAATATTCTATGGCTTGGATGACTTACATTTCACATTGGTTTGAGCAAGATGATTGGTATGAAGGACTTCAAAGAGTAAGATATATTTATGTTGTATTTATAATTCTCTGTGATTATTTTCTGCTTTGCTGCTATCTGTATTTCTGTGTCATTTATATTGTGGATATTTTTGTATTGCAAAATTCTGAGGGTAAATAAAACACTTTGATAGGTTTTAAAACAGAGGTAAGAATATAATATGTAAAGATAGTTATAATAATATATTAATGAAGAGACCTTTCTTTCCTATCCTAATTTCAAATGAATTCTTAATAATGTTCTTAGATTGTCTTTAGTCTTTAAATGTAAAATAGCATATTATATAATGAGATTAATCTTGAAAATAGCAATAATTTCAAAAAAGTCAATTCACACATAGAAAAATATTTAATGTAATAGAAGATAAACGTATGATAATACCATGATTATAAGAATATTAAAAGAAGATACAAAAAATTCTGAAGAAGAGTGCCATATTGTATCTGATAGATTTTTAGGCAATTAATTATGTTTCAAAAGGAATTGCACTGTTCCTGTGACAACTTTTGCTCATATTCTGATCTATTATTACAATAGTAGAAAAAAATGCTCTTTAAAAATTCACATTGCTAAAATGAATTAGTTTAGAATAATATATTTTTTCTCTTTGATTATCTCCTTTTTATTGGAGGATTTCTTAATTCTGTAAATAAAGACATTTTGTAGATTTTTCTTTTTATTAATTAGAGGAACAAAAAAGCAAAAATATCTTTATGCAATAAGACCAGATTTTTTCCCGTTGTTACTCAACAGTATATGCTGATAAAAATATATAGTACTTTATTTTTCTTCCTTCTTTCTTCTCTGGATTCCCATTCTAATTACTTCAGTCACAGATATTTCTGGTATTTTACTTCTTTTTAATTATAAATCCTCAGTAGTGTAAAACCTCTTGGTCTTTTTTTTCTGATTTTTTTTTCTTTAGCTGTGAAACAAAGTTGGTAAACATCTCTAGACCCAGTAAATATTTAACTCTGGAGAATAACAGTCTTACTGTGAATCCTAAAGCATTCTTCAGAAAAGACGTTGAAAGTTAGTGAGTAGCTTTTTATCCTGGATTCCAACCTTATCCATAAATGATGGAAATATTTCAAGTTATGAGTTTAATATAGTAGCACTTCAAGTCCCACTGAACACACATACGCATGCACGCACACATGCTCACACCACTACAATACCAGTATCTTTTGTTTATATGTGTGAGTACATTTTAAATAACAAGTGCATTTCTGATGTTTTGGATAAGATTTTTTTCAAGTGCAGTCCATATGTTTCTCCATAAGAGGGGATAGGGATGATAGTCTAATTTGACAGGTATGGGGACTGATTTTGAGAAAAATGCTTTTTACTAAAATATGTGTTTTTACAGGTGGCTTTGGAGCAGCTCATGGAGATTAAGAGGATTCAAAATCTTTCCTCCTTGCCCTGTAATACTACTATGGGCCTTTGTAAATGGATTCTTTATTCTGAGACATATTGAAAGAGTAGCTGTTCTTAAATATGGAAATTGATTGACCCTAAAATTACCATGTCATCTTCGTGAGTTTAAGTGCTTTCTGGCTCAAGTTTTGACCAATGCTTACGCAGATGTAGGTGAGAATGAAAGGTCCTATTCTAAATGGAGAAAATTGACACGTGAATATTGACTTTAATTTCTTCCAAAAACCCAGCTTACTGTTTTTCAGGTTATGTATGTATGCATACATATCCTATATAATCAGTATTCAGCATAGCAGATTCTTCAATATAGTTATTTTTTTAATGTTCACAAGAAAAGATAAGCTGTATTTTTGAGTTAAAAATTGTGAATTAGATATGTAGTGTTTCCTGTCTACTCAGTGCAGCCTGAAAATAATCATTTTCTGTGGATCAATGATCTTTGAAAAATCTTTCCAGATAGTTTAGAAAAAGACAATGCAAATTATTAACAAACATATGAATAACAAACATGTGCTCTCATTGAAAATTAAAGAAGGGCCGGCACCGTGGCGCACTCGGGAGAGTGTGGCACTGGGAGCGCAGCAACGCTCCCGCCACGAGTTCGGATCCTATATAAGGATGGCCGGTGCACTCACTGGCTGAGCGCAGTGCGGGCGACACCACACCAAGGGTTGTGATCCCCTTACCGGTCACGAAAAAAGACAAAAAAGAAAAAATAGAAAATTAAAGAACAACAAATTAAAGCAAAATTAAGATTTTTCGTGTGTGTGACATAGAGGTAGACATTCTGGAAAGTAATTTAGCAGTACTGTTTATATCAAGATACTTAAAAGTGTCCAAACACTTTGATATAGTAATTCCACTTCTAGGAACACAGCACATGGAAAGTGTACCTAAATGCACATAAAGCTTTACATGCAAAGAGGTTCACTGTAACACTCTTATGACAGAAGAGAGAGAGAAACAGACAGAGAGAGAGAGGGAGGGAGAGTGGGAGGGAGGGAAGGAAGGAAGGAAAAAGGAAGAAATTAAATGTAGAATTTAATCTTTAGAGCACTAAATTGACATTTATGTTTTGACATATTAGTATTTATGGCAAATGTTTGTATTTATACAAACACATCTAAGTGAATTTGATTTAAATTTAGTTTTATAATTTTGTTTTTGGCAGTATAATCTGTATTTTAAATTTTATTATGATTCTTTCATATCATAATAATCTTGCATAATCAAAAATGAGCTTTATCACCTATGAAAAACTTATTAAAAATATACTCTTATCTTTTCTTATATTTCATTCACTCTCTGTGTAAAGCATCCTCACCATATATTCTCTATTGAACTTATTAGCACACTTAGTGTAATTATTGAGTGTCTGTGTATTTCATACGGTATGAAATTGAAACCAAAAACAGAATTTAGTTTAAAAAAATGGAAATAATATCCCCAGAAGGGCTGTAGTTGCCAGGCTACTGACACTTCAGTTGCATGTGGGGTGACAAAATGCTCAAGCTTTCTTTTTGAATCCATGATAAAGCTGCAGTATTCGGCGAACTGCAACGTTTAGTACTTCATTGGTAAAGTGTGTGTTTTGTTTCCGGGCCAAAAGATTACATTTTCTGCAGCAAAACGTCTTTGGACTAGACATGACAATTCTTAAGTGGCTTACATAAAAATGAAACATATTCTAAAGCAAGGATAATGAAGTGTTTATAAAATTTATCTGAAATATTTTACCTGTCACAAGGAAATATGTTTATTTACTTTTTAATATGTGAAATAGTTTGTCACATTTAGAATACAAATTTGAAATGGACCTTCAGTTGAATATTTTCTATTTGCAGTAATGCAGAATCATTAATTGTGTAACTATTCATGCTGACTACCAAAATAACAAAAGCTTCTAACATTTTGTTCCATCTCCTTGGCAACTGTAGATATCATTTAATAAAGATTATATAAGTATTACGTAACTTTTATAATCCTTTTGAAAAATAATCTAGAAATTTTAAATATTAGTGTTTGAGTACATAATTTAGATTTTTAAATGAAGTGGTATTTATATATTTAATGGTAATTTTTTTTACATTTTAATCAAAATCATAGATTTTTAAAAATAAAATGCCATTTTTTGTCTTGTCCTATTTTTTAATGGACAAGTTGTTTAACTTTGAATTTTAAAAGTATTTAAGTTGTTGGACTATACCCGTAAAAGCTATTTAAGAACAAAGGCATACCAAATTTTATGTCAACATAGAAATGCTATGTTACCTAATTTTGGAAACTAAAAAACAATAAATCAAGATATACTGGTAGTTACAGTAAAGATGTATTGGCATAGATTTAGAAGTACTTTATTTGTTTTTAATAAATAAGGAGTTAGCAGAGGGACTCTGGTTTCCAGTTCGATATGTAAGGAGCTTAGAAATTACCACTCCATTCTAATGACAAGTTAAAAGCCAAACAAATTGAAAAATAAAGACCTCTTTTTATATCCATCAGAGAATTGATATCCCATGGCAAAGTACTGCCCCCCAAATTAGAGAGACAGGAAGATTGCCATAGTAGGAAAACCTAAACTGCTTTTTAACATCAGACTGGAAGTTCTAGCTAATACAGTAAGACAAAAAAAAAAAAAAAAAGAAAGAAAGAAAAGAAACAAAATGTATACAGATTTGAAAAGAAGAAGTAAACCTGTCTTTGCAGATGACATGCTCATCTATGCAGAAAATCTGAAAGAACTGACCAAAAATATGGGACTAAAGTGATTGTAACAAGGTTGAGGATACAAGTTAATATGCAAAAGTCAATTGCTTTCCTATATACCAATAATGAATAAGCGGAATCTGAGATTAAAAATGCATTACCATTTATAATAGCACTCTAAAAAATGAAATAATTAGGTATAAGTATAGCAAAATATGTATAAAATTTACATGAAGAAAACACAAAATTCTGATGAATGAAATTAGTGGAGAACAAATAAATAGAAAGATATTCCTTGTTAATGGATAGGAAGACTCAATATTTTCAAGATGCCAGTTCTTCCCAACCTGGTTTACAGATTCAATGCAATCTCTATCCGAGTTCCAGCTAGTTATTTTGTGGATATCAGTAAACTGATTCTAAAGATTATATGGAGAGGCAAAAGACCTAGAATTGCTAACTCAATATTGAAGGAGAATGAAGTTGGAGGACTAACACTCACCACCTTTAAGACTTACCATAAAGCTACAGTAATACAATGTGGTACTTGCAAAAGGTTAGAGAAATAGACCAATGGAAAAGAATAGAGAGCCCAGAAATAGACCCACATAAATATACTCAACTGATCTTTGACATAAGAGCAAAGTCAATACGGTAGAGCAGGATGGCCTTTATAACACATGATGCTGGAACAACTGGCTATACAGGCACAAAACAATGAATCTAGAAACAGGCCTTAACACCTTTCACAAAAATTAACTCAAAACAGATCCCAGAACTACTTATGAAATGCAAAACTATAACACTCCAAGAAGTTAACATAGAATACCTAGGTGAACATGGGTTTAGCT